TTTTTTCTTTTCTGTCAAAACTGGCCTATAACATGCAAGACCATCTGGTTTTAATACCAATGCATAGCTCCTAGCACAGGGCCTGCAGCAAAGTACGTTTTCAATAAATAATTCTTCAATGGAAAAATAAAAAGAACAGATGTGAGCTTTACAATATTCAGCATACTCTGTGACATGAAGTATTGCCACCAAAAAGAATTTTTCATTTCTAGAATCACAGCAGAATCTTACATATTCAAAGGAGTACGGTTAAAGCAAATTTCTTGTCTAAGCCGAGGAAAGCAGCCATACATTTCCCAATCACGCACCTTCCCAACATCTCCACACTATACACGTGTTTCTGGACATACAGTGACAATATTAATGAAAGCTAGTACTTGTAGAGTGATGATTGTTGTGCCAGGCACTATGCTGAATGCTTCTCATGCGATATCTTGTCTTATTCTGCAATAATACTTAAGTGACTTGTATTGTGGTTGGCCCCATGTTACCAAGGGGAAATGACATTTAAAGAGTGCGGGTAACTTGCCATGAGCCATACCAGGGACGGCAGAGCCAGTGCCCCAAGGGTAGGTGTTGGGGGTTAGAAGAAACATGACCTTTGGGAAGTACTCTGTAAAAATAATCCATAGAGGTAGACAGAAAATCAGTTATAGAGAAACAATATAATTCCACCATTGTGTACTAAGAAAATCTCTTCTAGTGTCTTAATTATTCTCAGCAAATTGCCTGGTTTATCAGAGGAGCCTAGCATTTCAGTGGAATTCTTCCTGGGGATAGTTAGACAGTTCTCTGAATAAAACCACAGAGGAATTTATCTACGATGTTAAAAAAAAAAAAAAGGAATCACACATGCGAACACAAAATATTTTAACACAGAAGAAAACAGAGTCTATTTCTTTTACTACTAGGTGTGTTCTTCTCCATATGAATATGATTCTGGTATGTAATTTTATGACTCAACACTCACTGCAAGCTTCCTTTGGTGTGAACTCTAAAAAATAGGTTTAAGGTATAGGTTTTTGGTAAGTTTTAGGAATGAAAACGTTAGCATAACCGTGATTAGATGGCAAATATCTTCAAGAACTCGCGTTAATGGGTCTTGAAAGTCTTTGTCTTTGCTCCATGGTTACTTTATTCATTAAAACATAAAAGAAAATCACTTATCTCCATGCTTTGATTGAGGTAAAAAGAAAATAATGTGGTAATACCTCATAATCAAATTCATACATGTATCCAAAATTCCCCTTCAGTCCAGATTGGTGACAAACATGGAGTGGATTCATTTTATGTCCCTTCAAAATCACCTCATTGAATATATAAAATGATGACTTCCATGTTGAATCTGTGGCTTTTATCAGAAAAATAAATTTCTCCAGGAAACAACGTCACAAATCTGCTGTGGAATTACATTAACAAAAGTGTCCTCTTTAGCTTTGATGCCATGAGAAGCCCATGAAAGACATTCATTTGAGAATGCAGCGCCAGGTAAAACACATTACAAAACTGGAACTTGTCTCTCGTATCATATTCATTACCCTGGGTCTTACTGTACTTTTTGTTTTTCCCCAACTGCAAAAATCAGAACCTCCTTGGACACCCAAGCACAGTGGTTGTGTTAACCTTGCACTTTGCACATTTGCTTTCTCTTTGTTTCTTAGCAATA